GGCCTTCATTTCATGATAACATGCAAGTTTCAGCACATAACGATAGTGAGTCTGCTGCATTGAGGGATTTCCAGAGGAGAGGTTGGTCAGGCAAGTCCCAGTCTATTAGGCATCCTCGACCGAGGCTAAGGGAGAGGGAAAATCGGAGAATTAGAAAGCCTCCACCAGTTTTATTCTCTGAGATTTCACGGGGACCTGTTCCTGAAAGGACAGAATCGTCACTAATTAAGTCCACTGGTGCTAATTTTTCTGGGCCTAAGACTCTTGCACAGATAAAAGAAGAGAAAATGAGAGCTAAGGAAGTAGATGGCAAGGAGAGCTGTGGAGACCATATTCCTCGAAACCCTAGAAGGCCTTGGTCCAAAGACTTTGAGGGCCCAAAACCTTTAAATGAACTTTTGAAAGAAAAAAGATCTGTTCCTGGGGGAGAGCACAATGCAATTAGTGGAGATAAGGAACTGGGGCGTAGAGAAACTTTCAGGAAAGGGAGCAATGGGTATGAGAGTGAATTTGTAGGCGATGATGATGATGATGATGATGATGTTGATGAAGATGTCCTTCATGAAAAACTCATAAAAATGCTCTCTTCATAAGCCTGTCATGAGGCTCTCAGCTGTTGTTTGGATACAACATTACTTCTGAAGACAGATGAATTATAGGTGGTGGTTATATGAATTAGACTCTTACATTTTTTGTTTCATTGAGTGGGCATGTTGTTCCCTTTTGTACAGTGCATCTGTTTGTTTTTGGTCACGCATGCAGCTTTTACAATTGGAATATGGTATAACATTCTCCTGGAGCATTTGGTCGGGTTCTTGGCTACAGTTCGGCTTCTCCTACATTGTAATTTTGCAGCTTTTACCATGTGGGATTATTTCAACACTTTGCTAATGTTTTATGTATAACTATGAATAGTAGGTTGAATGAGATTTGGTTGGTGGAAGGGTTTCAGTTTAAGCATGATCTCTGAATATTATCTTCCTACTGACAGTTTGCACTCTCTTGTTTTTTTTTTTTCATGGAGACTTTTAACAGTGCTCAATAAGATTTAGAAAAACCGATCTGGTTTCAGCGACAGTGCTGAAACCAGGTCGGTTTCTCTAAATAAATCTGAAACGGGTCGTTTTTTGCAATTAAAACATCAAATGGGTTGGTTTTGAAAATTTGTCCATAAAATTTTCAAAACCAACCTATTTGATGTTTTAATTGCAAAAAAAGACCCGTTTCAGATTTATTTAGAGAAACCGACCTGGTTTCAGCACTGTCGCTGAAACCAGGTCGATTTTTGAAAAAAAAACTTTAGTATGATCCCCGGACAAATTTTCAAAACCAACCTATTTCAGCATTTAATAGGAAAAAAAGACCCGTTTCAGTTTTATTTAGAGAAACCGACCTGGTTTCAGCACTGTCGCTGAAACCAGGTCGGTTTCGATAAAAAACTTTACGAAACTTCACGGGAGTTCAACTCCCGTGAAGTTTAGTACGTTTTTAAACTTCACGGGAGTTGAAGTCCCGTGAAATTTATTACCCTCATTAAACTCCACAGGAGTTCAACTCCCGTGGAGTTTGTTCTATTGTTAAAACTCCACGGGAGTTGAACTCCCGTGGAGTTACAGGCCAAATTTCCCAGAGAATCGCTCTCTGGGAAATTTGCACTGCAACTTCACGGGAGAACTCCCGTGAAGTTGCAGGTTTTACAAAAAACATGCACATCATGCATACATCTATCTATTTAACTCATATATACAACTATTTATCTGTTGACAATAATTACTGTAATATATATATTATTTAAACACGCACGAATCAAACAATACGCAAAAAGACACGGCCTGCGAACTCGTCGACGTGAGTCTTATGAAACACCTGCGCTATGTTCTTGATCCTGCCGAGGAGCCCTAACGCCACCTGATCCTGAATCTCAGGCACGGTCGCATCAATATCAACCTGAATGCTATCAAAAGCATGGACCTGTGAGGTAAATAATTTATTAAGTACCAACTCAAGAAAAAAAATATTATAATTTAGCTTAGAAACTTACGTATCTCTCTCGTTCAAAGTACCAACTCAAGAAAAAATATTATAATTTAGCTTAGAAACTTACGTAATCTCTCTCGTTCATCCCACTAGGGATGTAACTGTCTGTCGGTGGCCGTGGCATGTGTCCAGCTAAGGGCTGTGGGTCACGTGTGATCCATCTACGTGTGATATCCCAATACCAACCCATATATGCGGTGTAGTCAACAGCCGTGGGCCTCGTATCCTGGATGAAACCCCACCTGTGAGCCCACCTGTCTATGTAGGCCGCACGAACTACGGCCCAGTCGTTATGGTACGAAGTAGGTCGCCGCCAACGAGAGATCTGCTCAACAGGATCTGGTACATGCTGAGAGAGCGTAAACTGTTGTAGCACACGGTCAGGGACATGCATCTCCACGATCTCCCAACAAATCAATGGAACTCTCGCTCTCCACAAGTCGGGACTATCTCGGCAGATGGGTGCAAGAGAATGCATATCCAGCTCCGGCGGTGTATAGGGTCTCCACTTGAACTGAAATAAAATAAAAAATTTATCAGTATCAACAACAAAACTATAATATTCATAACGACTTGAGATTTATATTTACCTGTTCGTGTTGGAGACCATCAAGCTCATTTTAGTAAAACTCACGATGGCGCGTCGCTGATCGGTACTTAGCATACCGCACGTTATACCTATATGCAGAATAGAGAATATATAAGTACAAATTCAGTGCGAATAAAATTTGTGTGTACAAATATACATGTACGCCAAAGGAAACTTCCCCTATAGGTCACGGTGCACAAGTAAAGTAGGGCGTCCAATATGAATGCGCTCCCATGACCAAATCTGTATCAATGTGCAGCATCCCTTGAATTCTTTATTCTGCATCAGGGATACTCTACTCAACTCTCGATACAAATATGCCAACACCGCACTGCCCCACGATAGTGCGCCGCATACACCAAAATCCTCCAGCAGTGGCAGCCATCGTGCATGTACGAGAGTCTTGCTCGCATCCGGAAAAAGCACGCACCCTATCATGTGCAATATGTATGCACGAGCATGAAACTGGAGCGTCTCATCATCGGCATCCTGTGGTATATCGCCCTGAAATGTCTGACGAAGCCACGATAGCTTCATCGCACCACTCCTTAAGTCGGGAACCTGTCCAAGAAGTCGGGCACATACCTCGGGCCAACTATGATCATCGATGCCCGTAACTGGCAGCCCATCGATCCGGAGCCCAAGAATGACGGCCACGTCCTGTAAAGTGATGGTGCACTTCCCTATATGCATGTGAAAGGTGTTGGTCTCTGGCCTCCACCAATCAAAGCAGTGATAAGCGGCCAATCAAGCCTGATATATCGAACCGTCGAGCACTCCCGAAAACCAGCCTGAGAGATCAGCGCTAGAACTCTCTCATCCTCAATGACCCAAGATGAATGGCTCTGGGAATGCTCGATCATGGTGATATCAGGTACGGGCTGCACGTAAAAAAAGAATTAATTAAGTATAATGCGAAAAATTAAAATTAGTGCCAATGCTAACTAGCATATACAAAAGATGTTTTACCTGTCCTGAGCCAATATAATCTGAAACGTGGCTCGCCTGGAGAGTCAAAACATCGGGGCGTCTCGGTCCCGAATCCATAATGAATATAACTGAGAATTATATTAGAAGACAATGCTCAATGTGTTAGATCTTTTTTGTTAAAATACTCATCTAGTTATATATAAACAACAAACGAATGCGCAACGTGAAGAAAGCAATAACTTGAAACCAAACATTAAATTTATATAACATAGATCGAAATCGCTACAAATTACAACATCAACGCCTAATCCTAACTGGACAATTATTTTTCTTATGGCCCAGTTGATCGCATCTACTACACTTATTTCTCCTCCTAACTCCTTCACGACCGTCATCCATACAATTTCTAATTCGTACGGAACGAGGGCGCCCCGCCGACCTTTTATACAAATGAGGCAATATCAGTGGCCCGCCTTATGTCCAATATCGACTATCATATGGTGGATGAAAACACTCTTTGTATGTTTGTCGATAGTTGTAAGTAGAATACCAAGCCTCGACGAACTCATAGTGTGAAATCCTCGCACCACCTTGTAGATCAGAACAAGCCGCGACAACATGTGAACAAGGAATCCATTGTAATTGCGGTACGTTGCAAGTGCACGTACACGAGTGATCCACTAACATGTTAACTTTATAAGAGCGATTTTCTCTATGTGATATTCCCTCAATGACTTCCCATTCATTAAAACTGTATCTTACGACATGAAAGGATCGAGCTTGTACAATCCGAGCCGCTAACATTTCATCATTTTTCGGTGTGAGCTCCGAGCGGATATTTTCACCAAGTTCGCGACGTCGTAGAAAGAAGTTATTAAGTCTGTAGAATGTTTTAGCAACTAGTGACTGTATTGGCATACCGCGTGCTCCCCTGAGCACGCCATTGAAACTCTCTGAAGCGTTCGTAGTCATCATACAGAACCGTCTCCCGCCATCTTCACATAAAGCCCACTTATCAACATTGTGTGGTCCCAAACTAGTTTCGATCCAATCATGTGCAGCTCGGGAGATAAACTTAATCCTCTCTCGTATTTGGTCATAAACTAATTTTTCTGTTGCACAGCCGGCTTGCCAAAGAAGATCTTGAACCTGACCGTTTCCAAATTTCTTCTTGAAGTTGTCCCTAATATGTCGCAAGCAATAACGATGTACATGTGGCTCTGGGAAATGACGTTGGAGTGCTCTTAGAATTCCTTTCATCCTATCAGATATGAATGTAATCGGTCGTGTACCCACACTAGGGATATGATATCTAATGCATGCAAAAAACCACGCCCAATTCTCTGTGTTTTCAATATCAACCACTGCAAACGCCAAAGGAAACAAACCGCCATCCGCATCAACTCCGGTGGCAACAAGCAAAACTCCTTTGTACTTGCTGTATAAGTGGGTGCCATCAATGCTAAGAAGAGGATGACAATATCGAAACCCCTTAATACATGGCCCAAATGCCCAAAATACACCGGTGAACCACCGATCTCCGCCATCAACGGGGTCCGAAGATACTTCGTAGACAGTTCCTGGATTTTTTCTTTTGAGTGCTTCAAGATAATGAGGTAAGATCTCATACGATTTATCCCAATCACCGAATATTTTTATCATCGCCTTCCTCCTAGCATTCCAACACTTGTGATATGATACATCCAAGTTGGTGGCTTTTTGCACTAGAAGACGAATATCTTTCGGCCTTAGATCAAAATCCTCCCTCAGATGCGGTAAAATCAATCGATATATGAAGGAAGAGGATGCATTCTTGTTATTCATCTCTAATCGAGGATTGCTACAAGTGTGGAGTCTGTTGTACGCCGTGATTTTGAATTGCCCGCCTACTCTTACACCGGAGCGTGAATTAAGCTTCCACGGACATTTCGCATTGCCGTCGTGGTGTCCATCAATATCTTCATCATCGCCATCTTTGCGATAGAAACAAACCGCATTATAGCTTGTAGTATTATTTTTTGTTGGCCTAAACTTGACATTTTTTGCAATGACGTACAAGCGAAGCGTATGGATCAATTTCTCCTTGCTCTCATATAGATCTCCCTTCACGAATGAGAAGTCCTCGCCCTGTGTATCATGACCGCTATTAGTGTCAATAGGAACACTTTCCATCACGGAGTTATCGATCCATTCTTCTCCTTGAAGTTCATCGGGCGGCGGATCCTCTAAGACAACATACTCATTATTAGCATAACACCCGTCAATGTGGTGGTTGTCCCCTTCATCACGATCTATCAAGGTCATGCTATCAATTTGTAAGCCCTCCTCTTCATCATCATTCTCAGATTCAACACTTGCATTATCTTCTTGAACTCCCGTGTTAGTATCGACCGCATTCGAAGTGCCCACAAGCGAAGGACCGCTCATATGTTGTGATTGTGTCCAACCTTCATCTTGTTGAGGAGATAAAAAGCCAACGGAATCAACATCAGGGTCCTCCAACATGTAGGAATACATTTCATCATAATTCAACGATTTGCCCAAATTCCTTTGATGTTTTTCAATGAACAATTCAATCGAACGCTTCTCGTCATGTAAGACTCTAATTAGACTCATATCGTAGTCACTTGATATTTGAATGTCGCTTGTCATGTTCTCCACGACAGGATAATTACAAATAACATTAAGGTGATACTCACGTGAGTTGGTTAATGTAAGTTTGTGCAATTCATTAACCAACTCATCGAAAGTACACGATTTTGTTATAAACAATAGTCTCGTCGTACCTCCTTCATAAACGGGCATATTATTTTCGAGGTATTTAATTTTCCCATCATACGAACACAAAATTACGATTCGATCGTTCATCATTACCTCTGAAGAGTAAAACAATCAAGATCAATATTACACGAAAAAACTCTAAAAATTTATTGTTACTTAAAATTAAATCATATATCAATTTTAGGGAACCATAATTTTTTACAAATTCATATACCGATGTCATACATATGTACCAAAACTATTTTTTACATTATTGATAATTTACCCTCTAACTCGACAAAATAATTTAAGTTTTCTTCACATAATTCATAAAATTCACAATTAAATTCTCAAATCTAATTGATGTCATATAGCACTAATTTTTAGATTTTTTATAATTTCACATATAGCACTAATTTCATAACTTATTCATAATGAAATTCACAAATCGACAAAATTATTGATAACACAATTTTTTTAAAATAAATTAGATGTCATACATATGTATTAACACTATTTTTTACATTATTGATAATTTACCCTCTAAATCGACAAAATTATTTAAGTTTTCTTCACAAAATTCATAAATAATTCACAATTAAATTCTAAAAAATATAATTTTCTCTACATTATCACCAATTTAAAATAGCGAGAAATTACAAGAAATTAGAGAAAATCTAATTTGGGAGGGAATTTACCCTCAAATTGTCGAAAATCCGGCGAAGTTGACTGTTTCCGGCGGTCGGAATCAAGGGCAAACAGTCGGAAAGGAGTGCTGGCTGGAATCAATGGTCGGCGGTCGGATTTGGGGGCTGGGGTTGGAAACGACCGTGGACGGCGGCGGAGAGAGGTTAGGGTTTGGGGGCGGTTGCGGGGACGAGAGAACTGAGGCGAGGGGGGTTATGTCGCTGCGGTTATATAGCCCGCAGCTTCACGGGAGTTCAACTCCCGTGAAGCTGCAGGGTAAATTCGCCAGCGAGCTACTCGCTGGAAAATCTGGCCTGCAGCTTCACGGGAGTTGAACTCCCGTGAAGCTGCAGGCTAATTTCACAGCGAGCTACTCGCTGCGGATTTTACCCTGCAACTCCACGGGAGTTGAACTCCCGTGGAGTTTAATGAGTGTAATAAATTTCACGGGAGTTCAACTCCCGTGAAGTTTAAAAACATACTAAACTTCACGGGAGTTGAACTCCCGTGAAGTTTCGGAAGGTTTTTTAGAAAAACCGACCTGGTTTCAGCGACAGTGCTGAAACCAGGTCGGTTTCTCTAAATAAATCTGAAACGGGTCGTTTTTTGCAATTAAAACATCAAATGGGTTGGTTTTGAAAATTTGTGCATAAGATTTATGTATCCAACATCAGACTTTAGCTTGAGGCTGCTGCTTGTTATTTCATCACCATGTTTTCAGTCATTTGTACATTACCAAGCATGTCAGATGCTAAGTTGAAATTTTAGCAGTGCAGGCTTTTATCCTCACATTCTTTTATTGTTTCTGAGGAATTTTGGGCATAGTAGCCTTATGACAAGCGACCATATCTTTTGTTATGCCACTTGGTCGAGTGGTTGAACAAATCTATTCTGTTGTATGTGAAAAAGAGCCAGCTAATGTTTATCAAAATAAGTTGCTTTCATGGTGGTTGCTTCAAATGTGCTATAAAGTCTATAAGTTGAAAACACCAGGGTTATGGCATTCATTCATCTAGTTCTACAACAGCAAGTCTAAAATAATTTGTTGAGCAAGCTGTTGGTGATTCACAGATTTGGTTGATAGATATATGTAATCCCCATCTAGTGTATGGGTAGGGTTAATTTCAGAAAAACCCGCTGAATCTTGAGGATTGTCGCAGATAACCGCCTGAACTATTTTAATTCGAATGTCTAAGCGAAGTAGGAAATACCAGGTGCAAGTCAATATAGGTCTCACTAACTCGCATGCAACAGAAATTATACCATCTCAGAATCCTTGTCCAACATACAAAAAGCATTGGTTGAATCATATTCACCAACGGTTGATTACAACCTTGAAGCGAAAAATCAAAATAAGTACCAGCCAACAAAATATGCTCCATTGATCGCGAAAAAATGTGAGGCTCACAAAAATGAAATAAACAACACAACCAACGCACAAAGTTGATCTAAAGATCAGACTATTTATTCACCTCTTGTTTCTTCGTTTAGCATTCATCCAACCAGCGTCAAAATTTTATTGCAGGAATCCACTAAAGATCACAGGTTACAATTGTTTGCGAGATGGAAAATAACTAAGAGCTCAACCAAAGCTTGTCCCTTCACCACCAAAGGATATTTCAGAACTTGTACACCATTTCTGCAGTGTAACCCAACTCCTTGAGTACCCCTGAAAGCTGAAAAGCACCAGAAAAAAATGTGTAGTAATTAAAGTTTGCCCAATATATTAAAGGTTAATTTCGGATAGAACCCCTGCAGTATCGTTGTTTTGAATTTACCAACCCTCTGGTTTTATTAGTGTGAATAGATCCGATGACTGAAATTTTGACTCTTACCCTTAGGATCTAATCGTGAAAAAACAGCTCTCTCTCCAAGGGCACAGTGTCAAAAATTTCACTCAGGAGGTCTATCCACAATGACAAACCAAGAGGAGGGGTCTATCCACAATTAACCCGTATATCAAACTGGGACAACTTAAAAACACGTCATTTAAATATTGGTTTTCTTAGCTCTTTGGTTTTCCAAGTTCAATCTGCTGAATAAGAAAAGGTTGTAATGAAGAAATGTGTTCATACCTCGCCTTGCGTATAATCCTTTGCCTTATTTCCAGATATGTGATCCATCAATCCTGGAGGGCCACATACCTGTATAAAAACATTAACATGAGCTTGAAGAGCCAACACACTTTTGACCCACAATCCAAATTTGTTTTAAAATTCTTTACGCGAGTTCTGAAACTCCCATAATAAGATGGGTAAATTACAGATAACTCCCCACATCTATACTTCAGTAGCACTTACCACCCCTCAACAATTTTACTAGCACTTACCACCCCTCAATCATAACAGAGAAGGGGGTTCATCACCAATTTGTTCTCCTCAAAATGCAAATTCAGGGGTGGTAACTGCAATTGGACATGTAGATGAGGTTCGTTATCTGCAAATTAACCTATAAGATATAACCCACCATAATGAAAAAAGGATATTCTGTTAACAACTTTAAAACAGGAAAGAAAAACAAAAGTTTTTCTATATCTTGACAATTGCAACTCACAAGTACGAGCGTGTCGTCCCCAGGACCAGGCAAGCCCTTCAAAACCATATCTTTTGATATAAAGCCTGAACCTCCTCTCCAGTTTTGGGATGGGTTATCAACAGTATAAAACACCTAGAATATTTTGCCATCAAAAGAAGAAACTTTCAGATAAAACACAGAATTAAATTTTATGTCGATTTAAGTAAAGTTTTCCTTACGTAACCTTGAAATTTGGATAGCTAGCTGCAAGTCTGTCAAGCTCTGCTTTTAATAGAATATCATCTGGTGATACATTACCATAAAGCAATGATACCTGCAAAAAGCAAGGTCTGCACCATAAATGCCCAGAGTTTCATACCAAAGAAATACTGCTGACAAAAGTTATAACGAATCACTTGTAGTGAACAAGGTGTGTTACTACGTATAGAATTTCTGCTCGAAATGAAGGATTTTATTAGCAGAGAAGAATTTAATGGTAGAAATATAATAAACAATGTACAACATTGCATACATGGTACATTAATATAATTAGACTCCACTATGCTACTGAATCATTCTACTGAACTTTTAAGGTGAAGAGAATAATTTGTTTAAATAAAGATAAAAAAGTGGTAGCAAATACAGTACCAATCATGGTTATTGCATCATAAAAACAATAGACTGGGAAACATTTCCATAAGTGATGGCAGTTGCAAACAGGGATATAAAAGGACAAGATACCTGAGTGCAGTCCTCAGGATTTTTTACAATCGCCTTGATAACCTGCAACATTGGTGTGATCCCAGTGCCACCTGCAATCTGATAAATTAAAGACAGCACTGTAAGCACTTGTTTTACAGGAATAGTATCTAGAGGAGCAATTTTTTGCGGTGTTGTTCATATGATTATAACCAAACAACCAACCATTATATATATATAATACTTTTATATATATTATATATATTAATCACACGGACAAAACGGAACGTCAACCATAAGCTGAACACCGGACACAAAAAAACCGACAACACGTTCAACAGCAGACAACCAACACACCCGAACACACATCTTATATAACTATTATATATATATTTTATATATATATTATATATATATATTATGAGGATGCTGAGAGAAGTTGGCAGCTTTCTCCCCGTGAGTTGCCAGTGTATAACATGTGAGCCCCACACCGATATGACTAGTAGGAGGCCCCAAATGTCATGACCTGTCAGCTCACGCAGGGAGAAGAGCTGATAGCTCTTTACTCATTACTGCTATAATATATTAATATAATATAGTATATATTATATGATCTATATATATATATATAATATATACCCAAGTTTTTAAATATCGGATATCGGGGAAATATAGGATGCCCAAAATCCATATCGGATTGAGGATATCGGGGATATGTAGTAAATATCGGAGTGTCATATCAAATGATGTATGTAATATAATGTCCTATACTGTAATCTAAATACAATAAAATTTTAGCATACAAAAATGTAAATAATATATGTTTATGACAACTAACAAATTGTAGAAACTTAATTAAGGAAAAGAGCCTACTATAACTTGCTAAAAAAACTTTATAAAGATGGAATTTTTGCTTAAACCAATTACAAAAAATTTTAAAAGGACATACTGCCTAAATATCGCCTGATATATTGGCCAATGTCAAGGATATATCACCCAAAAATTGCCAAAAAGAGGCAAAGGATACTATGACCATATCGTTTTGCGGCAAGTCTTATGAAAGGATATATCAGTTGGTATTATCAAATAAACTGGAGATATTTAAAACAATGTATACAACCAATAAACTCCATAATGTATGTGCCCGGGAACTACATTGTGAAATGTATACTCCTCCATGATGTGTATCAATGTGACAGAGAAGGGTTAAAGGTCCAACATTATCCCCCAAAGTGACACAGTAATCAATAATACCTGTACTCCAACAATGTCTATGTGTTTGCCTACATAAATTCCAGACTCTTAAATGGCCTGCATTTTAAAATACAAATGCGCCCAAACAAAACTGCATAGTGTTTCTATAAGAAGTGTTAAAAGTTAAGGCCTAGAGTTGTCCTCTAGTCCTCTGGAATTTGCCCACTGCCCCAGTATTTCAGAAATGGTTACCACACTCTTCATTTTCCTTATATATATATATATTATATATATATATATATATATATATATATATATATATATATGTTATATATGTATATATTATATATATATATATGTATATATATATGAGGAGAAAATTGGGTTATGCCTTGGTGTGAGAATGACATAATGCCCCCCCCTCATTCAAATGGTTGCAGTATCCCCGATGGCACTCGCTCAACCCATTTGAATGTGGCTCCCCAATTGAATGAGTGGCACGGGGATTATGGCCACCCTCATATCAAACATAAAATTTGTGGCTTGGCTAGCCAAGCATAGCCATATTTCTCTGCTCTCTCTCATCTCTCGTCTCTTCCGGAATCGTCTCTCCTTCTCCTATATGATATATATAATATATATATATATATTATATATATATCTATATACGTTATATATATATCATACTATATATGATATCCATCCAGCTCATTCAAATGGTTGCATATGCGCCCCATGCAACTCCTCAACCATGTGAATTGTGGTCCCCCATTTGAATGAGTGGAGGGGATTGTGCCAGCCTCACTACCACGCGCACAAAATTTAGTGCTTGGTACGCAAGCATACCCATATATTCTCATCGCTCTCTCCTATATATTATATATATATATAATATATGTATGATATATATTATATATATATATATCTCTCTATATATAATATATATAGTATATATAGTATTATATATATAGAGTAGAGAGAAGACGCAGAGATATGGGTATGCTTGGTCCAAGCACAATTTTGTGCGTGGTCAGTGAGGCTGGCACAATCGCCCTCCACTCATCTCAAATGGGGGATACATCACATGCGGTTTGAGGCAGTGCATGGGATATGCAATCATATTGAATGAGTGGAGGGGATTATGTTCACCGTCTACTACCATCATAACTTTTTGTGTTTGGTACCAAGCATACGCATTTCTCTCTCTCTCTCTCTCTCTCTCTCTATATATTATATATATATAATATATATATAATATATATTATATATATATATAGATATATATTATAATATATATGATGATAGCCAGTATGATTCTTATGTTGCATGGATACGGGTACGGGACACGGAAAATTTGTAAAAGATAGGGTACTGGGACAAGACTATAAATATTTATTACACATATATTATATATTGAAATTAATAACTTATATAACAAAGATGAGAACTAAAATTCCTTTAACAATATCATGTTTCCTTTATTATGTGTATTAAAAATTGGAAAATATAGTTTTTGGAGCTAGACATCCAAATGACCCTTCATAATCATGATTTGGAACTTGACCTATGTCCAACAAGTTTCAAGAAGTGGATCCATAAAATGTTTTAACAAGTGTTTTAAATTAAAACATGTATTGTATAATGGAGTATATGCCCGAATAAATGTATGTGTATATGCAAGGAGTGTCCAAGGAGTTTGGTTACGGTTATGGGTGCGGCTTCAAATTAGAAGTACCTAGGTAACATAGGTTAAATTTATATATGTTTCACTATCAGACACAAAACAAGTTCACTTCAGGTGATATTACACACAGGGAATAAATGCTGGAATCTTTGGCAGGATGTCTGAAGTAGTAAATCGGAAAACCTAAAGCATTATCTCCTAAACTACTCTTATGCTGTATTCAGACAGGGAAGAAGCCAGAATCGGTAGTCCTCCAAAATAGAGACAGAAGGACAAGGCCATTCCAAAAAATTATGTTTAAACATGTAGTTTCATTTATCCACGTATCTGAAGTTTTAGAAGGAAGAAACTCAAGAATAAAATAGTAAAAGAAATAATCATAACTCTGTTTCCTCACGAAGGCCAAACATGCCTAACCTTCATGAATAAATAAACATGAATCTATTACAAATAAGAAAACTACTCAGGAGTCGACGTGTCAAATTTTAATAGAAGAAAATCTTCACTATTTTACATGTGAGTCTTTCCTAAATGATCTCAAATGAGAAAACATTCAAATCAAATATTTAACTAGGGGGGGCATGAAACTAAATGAGAAAACAAATTAATAGTCAATTTGAAGTTTTATCTTTAAGCATTCAAACTGAAGGAGATAAAAAGGCTCTCTATTTGTTAAGTGGTTTACTGAAGATTCCTAAAGTATTTCATCAAATAGTAGTGCTAGGGAATGAGAATTAGCGAGAGGAAGAAAAGGGCATTTAGATTAGGCGTGTGAACCGCCGAGAAGATTTTGTGTTCTTCAGGACAAAATCACAGTTAGAATGGCTTTGTAATTGAGGAAGGCAATGCAAAGGCTTTCATACCTGGTCATCTTTTTCCCCTCAGAAAAAAATATATAACACTTAAAAAACTAACAATTAGAGAATTTAATAATGCAGCTTTGCAAATATAATTGTCTTACCATGCCAATTTTCTTTTTCATGTTCGGGCTATATCTGATCTTTTCAATTGGCCTGTAGCAGATGATGAGATGCATGGTTTAATAAGCAAAAAGCTTTCAGCTCCTATTGAAATAATAGGTTCAAAGCTCATATAAAAATCACCCTTTAACTTCAACCACATCGCCTGGTTTTAATTTATCAAAATGCTGACTCATCTTTCCTTCAGGATAAACCTGGATAAAGATTTAGAAAATAAAGGCACGTGATACTTTTCAATATAATCATAAAACCCAATGCTGTCTTGAAAGTAACAACATGATTGTAATGAAATTCTATTGATTAAGTGCTGACCTGAAGGTACTTATGAAAAGAGTGAGGGGAAAAAAATTTATGTAAACCCATTCAGCCGAAGACATACCTTGATCAATAAATCAAAGTAACCCTTGGATTCAGGATCTGATATGGGAGTATACCTGAAAATGTGACAACAGCTCTAAGACTATAACATTTATTAAGGTCAACCGATCATATATATTAAGAGTAATAAAATAAGCCTGATATAAGGCAGATTAGTGTACAATGTTTAATTAGAGTTAGAGAAACATAGGAAGGAAACAACACTAATCATATCATAAGAATGTGATACATCTTAATAGAGTCAGATCATCATATAGTACTTTACTGTATTAACCCAGTTACAATAGAATACTAATTGGCTGTTACAGTTATTAAGATGACACACAACAGCTTCAACTTTGGATTAAATAGATCAGATTCAGCAAATCCTCCAGCCTCAGGTCTAGATATTGTTAAAACTCATCACTTTGTCTAAGACTCTAACTTGTCTAAGACTCTAACTTTAGTTTTTTTTTTTTTTTTAGAGTTTTCATTTCAGCCTTCGAAAAACAACTTACATGTTATCCGGTTCTGTTTAGGTTCATAAGTGATAAAATATAACTGAAACTAGACTAAAATATAAAAAAATCATTAAATAGTTCACTCCGGGGGATGTCAAGTAAACAGGTGGTAGTTGTGCAAACTCTTCATTGCCCAATTCCTTTGCTCCTCATTTAAAAGTTAATGCATCTATCAACTCATCTGAGGCTAAGAACCAATTTCAAGATAAAGAATCCTCCTAGAAGAAGTATACACACTCATCCAAAATGTTCTAACATGTTCAACATTGTCAAGTTTCATATTAGCAATACTGTGTAAAAAGAAAAGGACAATAAACTCACGGGCGGATTACAAATTTCTTCTTTCCTTCTTCTGTCTCTCCTCCAATGGGAACCCTGTAAATTGTAATCAACATTGACTTAGAATAGATGACAAATTTGTTTCTTATAACATTGTTTTATTTTGTATTACAAATTTGTTAATTATCAAGTCCAAACAAAATAGAATAGAAAATGACAAATAAATGTGCAAAAACAAAAGCATTAACCAATAATGTTGATGTCCACATAGGATTCCGCTTATGATCCTTCTCCAATCATATCCATACTATCTCTATCTGAACCCCACATCTCAGTATTCAAGCACATAATTGAAAGCTACTCTTGAAAACATAGAAAAGTAGATACATTCATCAATTGTCATTTCATATTTTTTGGCAATCATGAAAAAGTAAGACGCTTAAAATTGTCAAAACTATTTCCTTTATACGAATGATGCCATGTAAATTAATATTAAATGTTCCTTGCATTTAACATTTAGTGCTTTGTATAAGTGAGAAAAAAGGCTTCGGGTATTTTTTATGATGGCTATACCATTCAGATTGCATTTGTCAATAAGGAAATCTTCGCTAAGATTGCGCAACGGATGGTAGTTAAAAATGTTTTGTGGGAACTTGCCTTAGTCAATGATTTCCTCATTCTAATATCAGCACCACGTTCATATTTGGATAGTTGATGTCTTTAGTTATTTGATTGCTGGCAAATTTGTTTAGAATGATAAGCATTTTATTTGGCAGGTCACACGCTGAATGCAAATAATTATCATTTTTATAGCAAATATTGGTGAAATGAACCTGTGATTTTCATTTCTTTCAGAGTGACATCTTAGTAATTCCTCCTTTTCATTCTTGCATAAGATGGTCACAACCACCCACCCCCAGCCCCCACACACCCCTACCCAATAAAATTGAGAAAAAATTTCACATGCATGGGCACACAAACAAAATGTACGCAACATGGGGTATTCCTTCAGAGCTAGAACTTCTCAAGATCTTTATAGCAAGTCATTTGCCTTACTGACTCTCAATTTCTTCTCATAATAGTGCTGACTCTCAAATTCTTCTCACTTTATTTTCTATTAAAGATATTCTCACTTTATTTTCTATTAAATATATTTTAACCTTCGAATATTCTGCTTGGCCTGTTTTAATGTGGAAATACTGAAACATTCTCAACATCAATACTTTAATATCCGAAGTTTAAATTCAGCTTAACTTGAACCCTTTCTTATGTTTCAAATGAGTTGTCAAGATTATGAGAAAGAAAGTGTCAAAAGAGGACTGAACTAGATATAATGGATATTTCTCCTTCTTTTGAGAACAGAAAAGCAGCGAAATTTTGTTTTACCGGGACTTCTCCACTTGTTAACTCTAGAGTAAAACACAATTATGTAACAAGGAAGTTTTAGTTTATAACTACTTAACTAACAAGAAGATTTGGCTTAATAGCAAAAACTGTTACAATCATGTACATTGTTTTTTGACTGAGAAATTCCTAATGAACTTATACAAAGGTTATCTTATTAATTATTATTTTATTTCGTCCAAATTTCTTTTAAAATGATAAGGTGGACTTTCACACATGCTGCCTCTGGATCAAGAAACAGATTCTCAATATGTTGGACAAACTTCCAATCGATGACGACCCCTATCACAATCAAATACATCACCTGAGACACCTTCAAACTCCTCTTTTCTTTTTGTAATCTTTGTCTGACAGAAATCCTACCTATTGACAGTTCTATTTTTGAGTTTGAAAATCTACTTTCAGGACTGACAAAAGGTTATCTGCATCACTTATTTCACATCTTTTTTCATCCTCTAAAAATGTCTGGAAAAAAAACGCATGACTACATCTCAAATTTTATGGCAGGACTACATCTCAAATTTTACGGCCGCTCTATCAATTAATTATATCCAATTATTTGTAAATATTTCAAAAGTTTGAGAAGAAGATTTTATGCATGGTCAACCTTTTCTTGAAATAACCTCGAGGGATCACCTCTCATGGAGGCCTTTGATAAAAATGCACTTCTCACCAGGAAAAAACTAGTTAGTGCCTTATCAAGTTCCACAGCTATTAATGATACCTTTTGCTAGCATCCAGTAAATTCTTATGTAACATTGAACTTTAATCTTTAAAGTTTCATAGCTAACTTCAGATCAGTGCTAAAGGTAGAATCTTTACACTATTGGCCTAACATAACAGATAAATATATGTGATCAGTTAACTATTAAAGATACTTTTTGCTAGCATCCAGAAAATTCTTGCGTAACATGGAACTTTGATCTTTAAAGTTTCATAGCTAACTTCAGATAAGTGTTAAAGGTAGAACCTTTACACTATTGGCCTAACATAACAGAGAGAATATACGTGACCAGTTAAACTATTAAAGATACTTTTTGCTAGGATCCAGAAAATTCTAGTGTAACATTGAACACTAATCTTTAAAGTTTCATAGCTAACTTCAGATAAGTGCTAAAGGTAGAACCTTTATTGACCTAACATAACAGATAGAATATATGTGATCAGCTAACTATTAAAGATACTTTTTGGCAGCTAGCTTCAGAAATCATGCTAATAGATAGAACCTTTAGGATCAGTTAACCGTTACAATATACCCTAGGCACATGTTTCCTGGCAACAGATCTCTAACATGGACATGTGGCATTTCAATAACTTAAAGGAAACATTTGTGGCATGCATGGGACAAGAATTTTACGGATACATGCTTCCAGCACTTGAGTTACACTGTATTTTACTTCCATCAATAAATGACTTACATGTACGACGTGATATATTTTTCCTTCGTGAGCGAATTTCCATACTGAAGTTAAATAGTTGTAGATAGTGCTCCACTCATTCAGAGAGCTTTAGTGAAATAACAAAGTATTTGTTTTAGCTTATGAATTTTATGACCATTGTTTAGGAAAAACTTTTGAGAAGTTCACATAGAATGATTTTCAAATAAGTTATCATTCATATTTGATTGCTATATAGCAGATAAACTTCAAATCATGAAGTTGTTGTGTATTGAGACATATGTTACACATTGAGACTTGTTAATCTTTAGAATTTGTAAAGCGAGTGTGTTGTGTCAGTCTCCATGTATCCTTGCCCATGAGAGATAGCATGATCGGAAAAGGTTTAACTTGATCTAAATATCACCACTCAATTTTTTATCTTTTCTTGTATTCAGGATAAGATATTATTTGTATAACCTATTAAAATGTAAATAAGATCATTTTCTATTATTATACAAAATTAAAAACCGTTTAAAACAAGGTTATATTAAGATGAAATGACAATCGAATTTGAAACATATGTTGAATGAGGATATCAGGAATCAGGATAAACAATTAATAAAGATTCTCAGTTTGACAACAACGATCAAGATAAGCCAAATAATACCTTGTAAGGATACACGAAGCGACATAAAGACCCAAATCGACAGAAGGGTCAAAAGTGAACCTGCAAGAAGTTGAAAGCAAACTAGCAATTAGTTAAAGAAAGTAAATCTTGCATGACCAAAGAAAATGTAAAAAGATGCTTCTACTTGTAAAAAGGAACGGAAACCTATCTCCCAAATGGTTGATGTCTCTATTTATATGACTCATAACTTTACATACCAAGACGAGACAAACCTTTCTAAAATCAAACATTATATTTGAACATGCCCAGAGAAAAGTTTACAGAGAAAGATACTAAACACAAATGCCCACAATAGCAAATAATTTCTAGAAAGCGACTTCACGCACAGAAAATACAGGTTCACTTCCACGTTCCAGACAAAAGAAGAAAATAAGAAAACCAATTACCTGTATAACTTAGTGTTATGGCTGACTCTTGCTGTTTCTTGAAGCTTAAATTCCAACCACTTATCTGGGTTGAGTGCTGAAATTGAATAGATCTGAACAAATCAGTAAGTAAAGACAGCACATGACACAAGTTCTTCCCACCGTGTATAAACACGACATGTTGCCCACATCCAAAATGCATGCATAGGTTAACAAGACAGATGCTTTCTACAAATAAAAGAAGATTATGCAACCGTTTCACTTGGTACTGGTAGTGATGGATATTATGCAGTCCCCTCAGTTAGCATCCAACTTTGCATACCCACTTCATTTTCTTTCATAAATTTTCACTTGATGGAAATCTATTAGCTCAGGTAGAAAACTCTAGAAGCATTCCACAAACAGTGGGTGCTTGAATAAAATCATCTTGTCTAATATGAGGCGTAGTGTTTGAACTACTACCATTTGACATAAATTCATGGGATGGGAATGAAAATGGTGCAATGCTACTCTATCCATGGATGCCATTTGGCTAAATTAGATCCTAAATAAATAGACACGGGTAGAGGGATGGTGCTTTCGGATGATGAAAGGACCTTTATGGTAGCATATACCGGGAAGAAATAGTATATACCGAGAGGAGTATATCCATATGGGCTCATGAAAGAGAACTACATCTCAAAGAAATGAAAATTTTTATTCAACATGGATGTTCGCAGGCTTGCTATTTTTAAGATTGAAATGCAACTTAACCCCAACCCATGAAGGGAGGGAATATGGGAAGTTGAGAAAAAAGAAATGCAAAATTGAAACAGAATCTATTTGAATGAGGAAATCATTATGGTGAAATTCAATCTGCACTGCATGTTCTACTTCAACTAACACCACATTTTTAATACATTTTTTTTATGAAGTTTTTCCAGTCTCTTAAATGCTTTCGAATCTTTTGGTTCACAAAACCTTTGTACTTGTACAAACGTAAAATTCTAGCTGCAGAATCTCATATGTCATACATAGAATTATAGCTGCAGGCTCTCATAACATGGGTTTTCCTTATATCAGTCCCTTAATCTTCTTATTTTAAAATAAGCCTCTCAAAAGACTTAACTTTTTTTTAAGTTTCTCCAATCCTTTAAGTTATATCAAATAGTCCCGTTGGTATTTATCCACATAATACAGGTAAACTTCATCCAACAACTTCATGTAACTCATTTTTATTTCTGCAAAATTTAAGCTTTCAATATCTAATGCCTCTATATCTGTTACCAATATATTAAATACAGTCTGAACATAAAGGTAACGAATCTCCATAATTAAAAAAATTGAAGCCACCCATTTTATTTTCCGCATAATTTGAGATTTCAATATCTAGCGTCTCTAGATATATGCTTAATATATTAAATTGTCTGACCTTAAAGCCAATAAATCTCCATAACTAAAAATGGTACGAACTCGCCAATTTTTTCTGCATTATTTAATTCCAATATCTAATGCCTCTAGATCTGTGCCTAATATAACTCACCAGTTTTGCCAGCAGTTTGTTCACTTTGTGCGTCAAGATAAGACTGTCAAAATAACAGAAACTTTTATTAGTCCAGATTTTTTTTTTTTAAATTAAAAAGAAATTTTATTTTAAATCCACTCTTCTAACCTCATTTAATTTTTAAACCAACGCACTTCCAAAATCATTTCACACACTCAAATCACCAAGTTGATTCATTTAAAGTCGAAATATTTTGCCATTCAGCTGTAAAGTGTGTAAATTTCTGTAACTAGATCTAAACAGCTATGAAAATGAATCACAAACAGGCTCAAAACATCCATTAACCTAAAAAATTGCATCAAATCTAAAAATACTCATCAAACTAAACAATTACAACTAAAACCCAGACAGACCCATTTCATTTTCGAAAAAATCAAACAAAACCCAGATAGGAAAATTAGCTAGAGATCGTCATTACCACCGTGGAGTTTTGCGAGCTGCAGTAGTACAAGGCGATCCCGCCAGAAGCTCCGATCGGAAATCGACGGCTGTGATCCTCTCTGAACGAATTGATCAATCCCCTCGAGGTTGAGAGCCTCCTCATTAGATTAACAGCCATTTTTCTTTTTTCCCAAATTTCTTGTTTTTTTTTCTTTTTTTTTTCCGAAGAAAAAGAAGTGATCTTTTGAGTTGAGGGTTTATAGAGGAAAGAAAAGTGCGGTGTGTTAATCTCACTCTCAATAATTTTGTATCAACGTGCACTCGTGTCCTATGAAACCCGATTCTAGGAGTAGATTTGACCTTTGACGGCGTGATTGCCGTGGAACTGGGAGATGCGTTCCACGTGGACATCTACACTGAGAAATGTATTATTCTTTGGGTGGAAAGGAACAAAATAATTACCAAATAGTTTGTTAATTGATCCAGCAACTATTTTCATAGTTTACTAACACTAAATAAATAATATTTAGTATTCTATTTCATTAACGAATAGTATTTCATCAGATGTATATTCGATTTGTTTACTTATCAAATATTTATTTAAAATTGATCGTTTATAGTTTAAATTATTACAGATATGATGTTATATTTTCAATCCACTTATATTTTCTATTTAAGTTCTACATACTAATTTTGAGAGATTTAAAAATTTTAAATCAGTTTTCTAATTAAATATTCAAATTAACGAATAGTATTTCATCAGATGTATATTCGATTTGTTTACTTATCAAATATTTATTTAAAATTGATCGTTTATAGTTTAAATTATTACAGATACGATGTTATATTTTCAATCCACTTATATTTTCTATTTAAGTTCTACATACTAATTTTGAGAGATTTAAAAATTTTAAATCAGTTTTCTAATTAAATATTCAAATTAACGAATAGTATTTCATCAGATGTATATTCGATTTGTTTACTTATCAAATATTTATTTAAAATTGATCGTTTATAGTTTAAATTATTACAGATACGATGTTATATTTTCAATCCACTTATATTTTCTATTTAAGTTCTACATACTAATTTTGAGAGATTTAAAAATTTTAAATCAGTTTTCTAATTAAATATTCAAATTATATATAAGTATTTCATCAGATGTATATTCGATTTGTTTACTTATCAAATATTTATTTAAAATTGATCGTTTATAGTTTAAATTATTACAGATACGATGTTATATTTTCAATCCACTTATATTTTCTATTTAAGTTCTACATACTAATTTTGAGAGATTTAAAAATTTTAAATCAGTTTTCTAATTAAATATTCAAATTAACGAATAGTATTTCATCAGATGTATATTCGATTTGTTTACATCACACCTTGGAGTTGGTGAGGCTCCATCTTCTAGGTGTGATGTATGGACAAGATGTGTCCACATCACTACCAAGGATCCTTGGTACCAAGTATACCCATTTTTCTCTCTCTATATATATATATATATATATGAGAAATATGTGTATACTTTGTACCAAGCACAAATTTTATGCTTGGTAGTGATGTGTCACATCCCCATTCATCACTACCCATGTGAATTTATTCCCATTTGAATTGTGAACACGTGAAATGCAAGTGGGGACCACAAGCTTTGAAGGCCATGTGAAAAGATCTGTGTGAAGAGATAGTGATAGCAAAGACGTAGACGTGTGGGAGGCTAAGGTGTTTTTTTTAAAGAATACGGTTTCAATCATGTGGGGGCCACATGCTTGGAAAAACCGCGTGAAGATCATGAGTCCAGCGGACAAAAGAGGCCAGGCCCACCCGAAATAGTACAGCTATATATATCTCTTGTAGTCAGTCACCTAGGTTTTGGGCAAAAGGAGGGTTTGTGTGCAAGGAAGATTTAGTCTCTTTTGCGGCTGCAGAGCGTGTGCAAGTACGAAAAGGGTGTGTGAAGGGGAAAAAGAAGCCGGTTGTTTTCTTTGGCAGCGTGCAAGACAGGGCGCAGGCAGAGAGGAAAAGTATTTCGGCGGCTGTGCAAAGGCAGGTTTTCTTGGGCTGCGTGCAACAAGAAAAACAAAGGTTCTTTTGGCTCCTTTTGAGAGAGATAATTGTGTAAGGGATTTGAGAGTTTGTGTGAGGGTTTAGATTGAGTGATTGTAAACCCTATTTGTATTCTCTTCCTCTATTAGTAGATCTCCCCCCTCCTTTCCCCGTGGACGTAGACAATTTGCCGAACCACGTAAAATTGGTTGTTTGAGTTTGTGGTCATTGTAATAGTTTTAGGATCCCTCGACAGGTCAGTCCTAGAACTGATGAGAGGAAGAGCCGATATCTCATTTTGTTGAGATATCCGCTTCAGTTTCCTTGGTGAGACAGGAATTCTTATTGATCTTTCTCTCTTATTGCTGCACCAGAAACTCTGCCGAAATTTCCGCTGCGCACAGCAAAGCATAACCCATATTTCTTTCTTTCTCTTCTCTCTCTCTCTCTCCTCTCTCATCTCTCTCCTCTCTCTCTCTCTCTCTATAATATATATATATATATATATATATATATATATATATATATATATATATATAATATACACACACACACACACATCATAAACTTACTAATTAAAAAGAAATACTTTCATTTATAAATTTAAATATTGTTTAAAAATTAAATTCTTTAACAGAATAAATATCCTTTGACATTCGATAAATATTCATGAATATTTATCAAATATTGAGTATTTGAGCTCAAATTCGAAAAACTTCAGACACGGATATTCAAGTTCGAGTTCGAATTTTAATAATTTTAAACAAATACAAATACGAACATCTTAGTAATCGATTCGATTTGTTCATTTACCACTCCTAGTTAGTTTTACATGGACATTGCAACTATTTATACAAAATTATTGTATATCAGATGTATTTATCTAAAATGCACAGTTAAACATGAATAGCGGCAAATAAAATGAAATTATAACACAAAACCAAAGAATTGACGAGATTAAATAATGTTAGTTACAGGTGTCATAGGGGTAAATTGAAAGTACCCTAGAGGAGGGTGAATAGGGTAATTGCTAATCTAATCCAATTTTAATGCAAAATTAAAACTTACTAACAACATTCTAGCAATATGATGTGTACAAGTAATATATGCAAGGATGTAGAATTAAACAAATGGCGATATAAACATGAGACAAAATGCGATATGAAAATATACAAGAGAAAGTGTGCCAATGCAAAACAAAAAAACAAAGAAAATGATCACGAAGTTCGGTCGACCCACGACTTATGTCTCCGCTCCTCACTCTCGAGGAAAATCTCCACTATCTCAAAAACAACTACACAATCGGTTTTTAACGCTCAACGATAAACAATTACAACTCACACAATTGTCAATACACAATACACTCCTTTAAGTGTTGGCCTAGCTCGTGTCACCTTCCTGAAGTGCTTGGATTTACCACCTCTCACTAGGCTTTACTACCAACGCAACTCCTCTCGGAATTGATCATATCTCTCCTAACCACTTCTCTAAGTATCCTTATGTATTACAATGTATTCTCAATAATGATAAACTCAAATAAATATTTGTTCTCTAACAAGGATGAGAACAAAATCTAAGCTCATTCAATGATACAACCCCACAACCCAAATGTATGCAATATGTGAAATACTAAAGCTCAAGTGGTTGTGTGTGTAAACAATGAGTATAATAAAATCAAAGTTAAACTCAATTCAATCTAGCATAAATATATAAGAAACAAAATGATAAATAGCTAGAAGATGAGTTAAGAAAACTTCTCTAAACAAAGAGAGTTGAGGATTTGAGGTTAAACTCCTCAATGATGATATTGAACTCCTTCTCTTTGTGAAGCCTTCTTCATACAAACAAAACAAATTTTTTCTCTCTTAAAACTTAGGAACAAACAGTCCAAAACACTTGTAAAACTCTTGTAGAACTCCTTGCAAAAAACCAAGTGTTGAGGTCCTTTTATAGCCATTCAACAAAGCCATCAAAAACTAGCCGTTATGGCTCCTAACCATTGATCAGTCGACTGATGCAATGCATCGGTCGACTAACAACATGAATAGCGGTAGTTTGTGCTGAAAATCTACATAGCTATTATTCTAAATTCAATTAAAAATAGCAAAACAATTCCAAAAATTGTGATATTTTGAGGAATGTTTCTACACATAAAGATAAACATGTTAGAGAAAGAATTTCTAAATTATCACTTGTTATTTGTGAGAAATCACTGTTTAAAAAAGATATTCTAGATTCTAAAAATTGTTGAACACTTGATTTTGTAAAATCGATTTAACATAGTAAATCAACTCCAAAAATGATAAAACTTTAGAAAATGTTTATAAACATGAAATAGAACATGTTAGAAAAAAAATTTAAATTGCATTTCTAATTTGTGAAAACTCATTTATTTTGCAAATCGGTTGAAAAATACGAAAACGTCAAAACTTGATTTTGATAAAATTATTCCAAATAAGTTTTGAAACACTTTCCAATAGATTAATAGACTTGAGAAAAGATATAAAATAGTGTAATCAAGTCTTTAATCTATAAACATGTTATTTTCCGAATAAAGATGATAAATATGAAACAAGTACGTATGTATATGGATATAACTATTATTTCATATTTTATATGATTTAATCTTGAAAGCTATGAAAACGTGTATGTGTGTAATATGAGCTTTAAGAATTAACACATAAAGTATAAACTAAAAACTAATATACCCTATGCAAGTGATCTTCAATTAGCTCGTCTTGGTTGCGGATAAAGCGATGATGAATCTTGACTTGAATTGCAATGACTTCATTCTGATTTCCTCCAACCTCCAAGATATCGTCATTAAGCGCAAGTCCAACCAATCTCCAATTAAGGATATTTGTGTAGATTACCTAATAAAATAAATACAAACACTCGACACACGATGTTAGGAATTGTTTGTTAATCATCAAAACTAGATTAGATAGTAGGCTCATAAACATGAGACCTAACAATCTCCTCCTCTTTGATGATGACAAATAATATACTCAAATAATATAAAATATGCATGATACTAAATGAATATACAAGTTATAATCATCATGCATAAACCAATAGTAAGCAAATAACAAAATACTCATAACAGACTTGTTCCTTCCCCTTTGTTAACATCAAAATGGGGAAAACAATAAGAATGAAGAGAGCGAAAGCTACCTCTACAAATAAGCATAGGTGAGTATAAAATAAATATAGAGAAAAAAGCCCCCCTATCAAAATGCCTTAAAACATGCATATTAAGAAAATTTTAAGGTATTAATATGTGAGTATGACAACTCACATTTGAAAAGACCTTATGACAACTCACATTTGAAAAGACCATGGGAACACATATAGATATATCATTTTAAAAATGGTGTCTCAATACACAAACATAAACAAAGATCAATATATAGATTTATATATATAAAAATTATGAAAGGATATTTTCAAATGAAAAACAAATCATGAAAACCATGAAATTCGAAAAGCAACGAATGAAAGTCCAAATAAAAAACCATGAAACTTGTAGGCCATTTAAAAGGATTGTAAACCATTATTGTTGAATCATGATTCAAAGGATAAAGAACGTATATCAAAGTTAACCAAATTTGTTCAAACATTTAATATTTGAGTATTCATCAAAAGATAGAGAAATCATGAATCAAACATTGAGCACATATAGAATTTCTTAGGAAAAACTTTTTGAACCACATAAACATGATTTGGAAGTAAGAGATTAATACGATCGGTCGAGGGGGGGGGGTCTCAAAATAAACCTCTTCATTTGTGGGATTACTTTGGAAAGCATTTCTAACATGCATTTGAAATAATTTGAAATCTTTTAAAAACTAGCAAATGCTAAAAAAAATAAGAGTTTGACTCTATCCTTGCAACTCGCGCAAAAGAATCGTCACAATCAATGCCCTCAATGTCAAAACCAATAATAATATGTAATAATAATTAACAATATTTATTTTAAAACAAAATTTACTGTTTTGATTTTATTTAGATAAAAATTTTACCAATATATTTCCAAAAATGAGTTTTTTTTTGCAAACATGTTTTCCAAAAAGAAATGAGAATGGAAATGCTAAAAAGAAAATTGTTTTAAAATCAAAACGTTTCAACAATCCAACAATAGAAACTATATAGAGAAATAATGCACTAGTCAGCCGACTGAATCTTCAATTGGTCGACTGATAGTACTGTTCATTCGACTGATAAGGATCGATCGACTGAGCAGAAATAAAAATAAAATTGCAGAGTAGTTTATCAATCGAAATGATGAACAATAGCGGTCGACTGATGAGCAGTGTCGGTCGACTGAAACACGTGCACATCCCTTAAATGAACAATAAATCTGGTTTTTAAAGTGTGTTTAAAAATAGCAAATAAATTTCAAAAATTATGAAACTTGGGGAAATAATTATTCTAATGAAAGCAAACATGTTAGAAAAGAAATTATTCGAATATCATTTTCCGTTAGTGAAAACTTATCATTTTGTAAAATCTCAAAAGTACGAATTCGTTTAAAACAATTGATTTTGACAAAACGATTTCAACCAAATTTTAGAATCATTTTTAATGGATTAATAGACCATGGAAACTATGTAAATAGTATTGTTTAGTCTATAATCTAAAAACACAAAATATGGAACAATACGTGTACAAAACAAAAATTATCTTTTAGAAGCATGAAAACAAAAAGAAAAGAAAAAAAATTATTCTTTGAAATCAAACATGTTTTGGTATCCAAACACTCTTGTCATTCATGGATTTTTATAGAGGAGAATGGTTGTAACCACCTCCTTAGAATGTAGGAAGTGGGCGTAACTACTCCCACAATTCGAGCATGCGGTTTTAACCGTTCAGGCGAACTAGGAGAGCTTGCAAACTAGGAGAGCTTGCAGGCAAGCCTGGATCATGCAGGCGAGATTTTAAGCGTGTAGGAAAAGTTGGCGAGCCAAGTATGCAGCGAGCTTAGCTAACTTGAAGGCGAAATTGGCGAGCCAAGTATGCAGGTGAGCTTATCTCCTTTCAGGCGAAGCTCGATGTTTAGGCGAGCTTCACTTCGCCTGCTAAGTCAAGCATTTAGGCGAACTTGACTTGGCCTATTTGATTCAGGTGAACAAACAAAACAAGCTTTGTTCATGCGAGTTTGGATGCTCATGCGGGGTTCAGTCATGCAGGCGAACCTTTAAGTTTCATCTCCTTTATTGGAAATAAAGGCAATTTTATTTGCCTACAGTGATCTTCAATTAGCTCGTCTTGGTTGCGGATGAAGTGATGATGAATCTTGACTTGAATTGCAATAGTTTCATTCCGATTTCCTCCAACCTCTAAGATATCGTCGTTAAGCGCAAGTTCAACCAACCTCCAACTAAGGATATTTGTGTAGATTACCTAACAAAACAAATGCAAACACTCGACACACGATGTTAGGAATTGTTTGTTAATCATCAAAACTAAATTAGATAATATGCTTATAAACATGAGACCTAACATAAATTACACTAAATCTCATTACCTTTCAGTTGTTTGCAGTAAACGCCTATGAAATTTTAAAATCTCACTAAACCCCAATAACTTTCGCAAAAAGGCCCAATATTTTTTGGGTAAATCACACTAAACCCCCAATAACTATTGATATGCCTTTTTATGTTGTTTTCTGGTTCTTTACCTAACAAAACAAATGCAAACACTCGACACACGATGTTAGGAATTGTTTGTTAATCATCAAAACTAAATTAGATAATATGCTTATAAACATGAGACCTAACATAAATTACACTAAATCTCATTACCTTTCAGTTGTTTGCAGTAAACGCCTATGAAATTTTAAAATCTCACTAAACCCCAATAACTTTCGCAAAAAGGCCCAATATTTTTTGGGTAAATCACACTAAACCCCCAATAACTATTGATATGCCTTTTTATGTTGTTTTCTGGTTCTAATGTAGGGGGTTTATCTGCAAAATGAAGAAACTTAGTGGCGGTTTTCTACAAAATAGAAAAGTTATTGTATGTTTAGTGTGATTTTGAAAGTCCATATACAGCAAAACACTGAAAGTCCATGGGGGTTTAGTGTAATTTACCCTTATTATAGCTTGTAGCCTTTGTCAGCATAAATATGTTTTCTTGCATAATTCTAATTATTTTCTTAATCTACAATCACAAACTCCAAGACAAAGTGAAATATATGCAAGAAAACAAGCAAAGATCACATCGTAACAAACCCCACTATTGCAATATTTATTTGCACTACAAACATTCATGGATTAAGATACCAACGCCTGAAATTCATTCCCTCTGTAATATTTACAAAGTTCTCAACAACTGTCAGCAAACACCACAACTCTTCCTACAAGATCCATAGTAATCAGGAGTACCCAACATAAACACAGGATTCCTATGGCACTCTCCGCTGGCAGCCCATCGACTGCAGTTATCATCTTCATCTGTGCATTCTTCTTCCAAAATCAGAGAAGGCCTCGAGTCTTTGTTTACATTGAAAGCTCTCGTGTGTATCAATTTCGTTGCAGTCCATTTCTCGCCTTCGATGACTTTGCAGCTCCCATGGATGCTGCTTTCGTCTATTGTTGTGTTAGGATGAAGATTGAAGAGAAGAAGGGCATCGCCTTTGGCTGGTTTTATTGTGTAACCAGTTGATGCACAATCTGACAAAGTTTCATCCTCGATTTGAGAGTCTTTAAGCTGCAAAAGTTGAAAAGAAGAGAGGCTTCAGGTTTGCTTCAGTAAGAAATCTATTTAGTTGTGTGCGCTTTGACCAAGAGTTATCTATGTGACATGTAGACCTCTGAATTTTAGGATAAACTTTATATGGGTTAATTGCAGATGCACCTTATGCTATGGTGGGTTGTTATAGACTCTAAGCTTTTATTAGCACTTAGACCATCTGATATCCAAACAGAGTTATCTCTTCATTATTTGTATCAGTGATGAGGGTGTCAAGTGACGTCAACTTGTTGCAAGGAGATCCAGTATGTTGCAGAAAGATCCCGTATTCTCTTATAGGAGTTATGATAATGAAGAGAACTGAGTCTTGGGTGGTCTAACTGCTAATACCAAAGACTAGGGGCAATAAGCGATCAACCATCTACAGCACAAGAAGTATATCTTACCCATTCAAAAAATCTACCATGAAATTTATCATTATTTATTTATTTATTGCAAACTGATACAGTGAAAACTATAGTTCATGTTAGCTCCTTGATCCTTTTTTTGAAAATGTTATAGAAGGGTAAGGAAAGTACAATAAGTGGTCGAGAGATAATTTACTTAAATGTTTATCATGATCAAAAAGGAGAAGTGACTGCTTCATGGAAGCTCACGGTAGCTTCTTAAGCATGCAAAGTTTATGGTATTTTCAAGGGGGAAAATGCAGAGGAAATTCATGGTAGTTTCTTGAAATTTGCCCTGAATTTTAATATGAGAAGGCATGTATCACCTCTGACTTGGGGAAGACTGTCTCACCACCACGAGTCACCGCTGAGAGATACATCAGAACTGTTGCAACTCGATTCCCACCATTCACCATATTGGATCCTACTTGATAATAGTCATAATTTGGTTCATGACTTTCATTTGTCCTATAGTGCAATATTTGCATTTCCTCCCCGTTCTCTGAAGCGAAGAAAGAAAAATATGGGGAGAAAAAAGATAGAAGTAGATGATGATGTAATAATGGAGAATGGGTCTAATTAATACCTTGGGGAAGAAAAGTCCAAGCTGATATTCTCTCCTCAATCTTTGAAACAGTTTCATCCTTGAAATAACAAATAAAATAAGTTGGGCCAACTAAGTAGTCATCTGCAGAGAATTCAGCAGAGGTTGTAGAATGACTTACCAGCTTTCGGGTCAAGAACATTTCGGAGCTTGATGGATTATTTCCTGTATCACTATCATTAGCCAAAGGTATGACTAGTTTATTTTGTGCCTGCACTAAAGAAATTGGATTTAAGATGCCATATGACCAAGAAAGCCACTTGTGTATGTGATGGAGCAAGAGATTTACCAGAGAAATGAGGTGATCACACTCCTCTCCAGAAAGAAATCCTTTATACAAGAAGGCCCTAACTTAATGAAAGAGAAGTCAGGGTCAATCAAATGAGAATGCCTACATTAAAGTGCTTCTTTGAGTTCAGGTGAAATAATAGTCAGGGTCAATCAAATGAAAATGCCTACATCAAAGTACTTCTTTGTAAACAAAGTTCAGGTGAATATTTAATATATCATAGAAGTCTATCAATTCCCCTTTTTATTTATAACTCTCCTCAAGCCCTGAATCCTGCATAGTCCGACACTCTACCAAAGTTGATACTAGTTACTTGGTTTTATCTACCATTTATACAAACAGAGGTAAGCAACATTAAATATGTAAGACTCCAACGACCGCCCTGGTCTTTATTTACAATAAAACAAAAGGGTAGTCAAAAGAAAACATAAATAATTCTAAGAACTGACCTCGGATGCCATGATAGTTGGATTACTTTTGAGGGGTCAATTCCAATGGGTGAATTTTCATTATCATGATGATAGATAGGCTCCATCTTTGCCACCTTGTTTTTCCCTCCTATCCTGCAGATAATCGACAGAGAAGAGGTCAAAAATTAATCAGTTAAGTATGGCATACGTCAAATTGTTAACATCTAAAGTGGGTAAATTACTTATCAACAGATGCAATTTGTTATAAATATAAGAGTGAAATAGACATTAAATTTCACGCATAAGAACTATTATCGCGGGAAAACTTGTGTTGAGCATCCCTAAGTGATCAATGCACCACAAGAATGTAAAAGAGAAACCCAGAACTGAGCATCTTGATGAATACAGGATCAGCCAAGGCTATGAAAAGGTAATTTACGAGATGCATAGTAGCGAAACTTATTTCTCACACATTAAAGAAAGCAAGTACATATTTGAAAGCCTTTAGTCATTTCCTTGTTTACTTCTTAGATAACTCCATGCTAACTGATGAGAAAGGCTCAGGTAAGCAACAATCTCCTAATCAGATAGCAATAAAAAAAAGGCCAAGTAGGTTGTCCTTAGGCTCAGCATGTCATTGATGAAGGCTATGGATGAGTATGCGCATCCAAATGTCACAAAACATGCACGTGGTTTAACAAAGAAATCACAAGGCGAAGAACGCATTTCTAGAAGAAAGAAATTTCCTGTGAAAATATCCAAGTAAACCTCAAGAATGGGAAGAGTTGTTTGGCCAATAAGTGTGCTAAAACTACCCAAAGGTATCTATATATGACGCAAAATCTAGATGAACACCATGCAGAAAGACAATATATCTACTTTTGAAAAACTCTTTAGCTACTTCTCCATCGACATCCTTTGCCCCATTGTAAGTCTTTTCCTTAACTTCTGCCACTGAGATTTGACTGCATAGCATTTTGGAGACATTAAGTTTTTTCTTAACTACAGTTTCCTTAGTTGGAGACAATAATTAACGATTTTTATCGGTTAAAAAACCTGACACTTAAATTGAACCTACTATAGAAATTATTCCTGAGTGTCTAGTGATCAAATCCAGTATTGCATGAATATACTCCCAACACTGCAGTGTCTGACTTGGGTAACAGGATATGGCACTACTAAATGAGAAATTGACTGAGGTAAGACTAAACCCACATGCATGGATTAGTTTAAAACTAAACTAGTTTTTACCAGGAATCTTGGGGAATATGAAAGTATGTGCTTGTTTTTGGGAACTTAGCGTGAAGTTAGATGTATGTACCTAACCCCCACATATTGGGTTAATTTACATAACCCCCGATCTTTTGGGGTGGTTTCACATAACACCCCTGAACTTTTTTATCTCACTTAACCCCCTTGAAATTTAAGGTGTCTCACAAAATCCCCCTGAACTTTGAACTTTTCTCACCAGAACTCCAATGTGTAATTTGCAAATGACTAAAATGCGCTTGGGATGAAAAAAGTTCCAAATTCTATTAGTTGTCATTTATAGGCAACAAACCCTCTCCCCAATGAAATTTATCTTATTTGCAAATTACACATAGGGGAGTCAGGTGAGAAAAGTTCAAATTTCAACAGGGTTTTGTGAGGCACCCCAAGATTCAGGGGGATTAAGTGAGATAAACAAAGTTCAGGGGGTTATGTGAAACAGTTCCCTAAGTTCAGAGGAGTTATGTGAAATTAACCCCTGCATATTATTGTCTTAATAAGCAGAAGACTATATTGTATTGTAGCTCCCACTACAAAAGCTTTATATTTAAAAGGTTTATCTGATTTGCATCAATTCCACCATGAGACTGGTGTTTAATTGGTGCATAGCATTCTAGTCATGACCTCCATAGGGCTAAGAGCTTGTTTGGTAGACCAAAGATCATAATTTTGGTTCTAGATTATATTTTATCAATGTATTAGAAATTTTAAATGTCCTAATTTCTCAATGTATTAGAAAAGTTACAGTATCCATTGTATCCTAACACAAGTGTGTGTGTGTGTGTGTGTGTGTGTGAGAGAGAGAGAGAGAGAGAGAGAGAGAGAGAGAGAGAGTGTCTCAATGTATTAGAAAAATTGTAGTATCCATTGTATCCTAACAACAGTGTGTGCATGCGTGTGCACGTGCGTGTGCGTGTTTTAGCTAATGCGGCATGCAAAGATCTCAATGCACTGGAAACAACTGCAACCAGATGAGTCTTCATCTAAAATAAAATCTCAGGGCTTTCTTTTGCCCAAAAAGATACCTTAAAACCTAAAGAAGACAAGAGCAAGGAGCTTCAAACCTTCACCAAATAGAATCTTCTAGCCTAATGTCTTTTTCTAGGGAAAGGATGTAATCAATGAATGATCCGGTTAGGAGACTTCACTCAATAAGACACTAGATATGGGAAGAAATACATCACCAAAACAAAATGCAACTTATGTCGAATGCAGTTTACTACAGAAAATCCATCATACTCATACTCACCATTTTATACTCAATCTAAGAGCAACCTTAAAGGGTCACCCTTGGTTGTATGAGCTGGAACAGCACGACCCAATAATGCAAGTTGTCAAACACTCATGATCTGGCTTATTTTCTTCAGGTAGCATTATGACATTATGTTGCTACTTCCATACATCACAGGTAACACAGGAGACTCTTATCTTTACCGGGTCACTTGCTTTCAAGGTATAATTGCAGGCGATTCAGAATTTTGATTAATCTCTCAGCTGTATCGGTATTTAAAAGAAAAACTTATTCAGATTAATATGATGAAGGTTATATCACATCCATGTCCTTAACAATACATAGCAGCAGTAATAACTAACACAAATTTTATCTACACATATACAACTTCCAAAAATTTCGCATATTCCATTAATTTGAAATATAACTGTGACTATTTTGTCCAACCCTATCAATCTTAACCCAGTTCACGCTAAACCTACACAACAATCAATCAAGTACAACCAAAGATCGAACTCTATCAAGAACCCAAATGGGCAAACTCCCAATCAATGCAGTTCTAAGCACAGACCAAGGTGAAACTATACAAATCGAAATTGCAAAGTCAAGTGGATGATACACAACCCAACAATGCAATTCTGAGAACCCATGATTGAAATAAGAGGATTGGAATCAAAATCTCACTTGCGAGGAGAAGAGATTTGTAGAGAGGCTGACAAAGCCAAGAGGAGGAGGGAGATTGAGAGCAGGGATCCCATCACAACTGTAGATCGCTGTGGAAAATTTTCTTTCTGAGGAATATTGTGTTCTTCCAACGATCGAGTCTCCCAAGTTCCAGAGTTTTGCTGCAAGCCTGTACCCCAGATGTTTCGGCGGAGATGGGTTGGGCCCGAAGTGTAAATCTGGATCCAAAAAAAAGTTCTGCTCCATCCACGTAGTTTCATTTTGATAGATAGACCCCCGGGTGATTATTTTTTTTTTTACTTTTGTTTTCTGAGGGTGCATTTTTGGTAAATATTGCCTTTAGGTGAAATTAGTGAATCTAGTTGAGATAGAAGACTTGAAAATTTTCACCACGGGATGTACCTTAAAATGAAACTGCATGGATAGCAAGTTCGAAGAGTAATACTACCGGGGGTCTATGTGCACTTCACCCAAACAAAAAAAAATAAGTATAGGAGAACCTATTATATATATGTATGAGTAAATTTCATAAAACTATCTCGAATTTTGAAATCAACAGAAAAATATCACGTACAGTTATCTGATAATAAAATAAAGTCATGATAATTTGTGACTTCGTCTAAAAATCCATGTCGCAAAAACATAAATAAATAGGTTGACGCTATACGTATGCTTTGTAATTCATGGACTGTTATAGTGTATATGATATTATTTCTGTTGTGCTATTTGTTTCTAACACCTTCTATGATAGAAAAATGTTTATGATATTTTCATGCAAATCCCAAATAGTTCGTGCTAGTTTTGCAAAACTCAAGCCAAATTTAATCTCGTAAAAACACAAATGCATTTTGATTCAAGGATCACGGTCATAAGGCTTATAGCGCAGCTAAGCCATTGAGACAAAAGTAAATGCATAAAAGCCCTGCCATTTTGGTGCAAGATGACATTTCTCTTCAAAACAGAGATATATGACACAGTTGTGCAACATACAATGTATCAACAGTATCTGCATTAAGCAGCTTCATTGGACTTTACATGAACAGCATCCATTAAGAAAAATGACTTCCTTTTCAACAGTGTTCCAAGGGTTTGTCATAAATTGGACACATTGTTCAATTGCTTTGCTGATGGTTCTGAGTTATTGACTGAACTCTGGTGAACCCACGACGAGATAAGATGATGGGCAATGGCGAAGGGGCCAGGGACAAACATTGGGGCCAGCTCACCACTCTCCACGTTGAAGTCTGACGAGAAATTTTGACCTTTTTCGACACCCTTGCACATTTGGTTCACCTTGAAGGCAGATGTCCTCTGAGCTTTCTCATATTCTGCAAATGTCAACGCCTTTTTAACATCCTCTCTACTGTGCCACCGAGCATCTACAAAATCGGCAAGATGACCATTCATATGTATGTTATAGTAAATGATTCACATGACATTCTTATTGCTCATCTTCAATCAGTTCAATAGATGTTCAAAATTTTCAAATAGAACACGACTGATTTGTATGTATTATTGTATATATCACATATACAGAAAAACCAAATTCACATGTCTGATATTTGTGTGAGGTACACTATATAAACAATATATGCGAGTCTAATCCATTCTGACTGAAAAACCTCTAGTTTTGAAGTATGAAAATTCATGGATGAAGATTGACCAGTAACACAGATAAAAGAAAAGAGTATTGCACAAAAAGAAAATCATTGTGCAATTAATTTCAGTCATGTCAGAATTATTCAAATTAGACTGAGTTACAATCAAATTTTAGCACCGCTATCTTTTTTACTAAAGACGAGATGCAAGAAACAATCTGTCAACATGCTACCATCACTATTCTGGTTATTCTTATATGACTTGATTTGGCTTCTCTATAGTCAGTTTCAACAAAGATTTATGACCCATTCTTCCTCTATTTCCTAAATTTCAGCAGTGATATTTGACCCTTGTGATGATAAATATACATGGCATTTTCCTTCATGAATGCCATGTGTCATAATGTGAAGCCTGCCGACTGCAGGATGAAGCCCTTTATTTCCTTCTTCATGGCCACAAATAATTTATGGTAATTTATTGATTCCCAGGACCTTGTAATACAAACCTCAAACCGTATGACATTTTACGATTCCCAGGACCTTGTAATACAAACCTCAAACCGTATGACATTTTACTTACCAGCATGTTGAAAATTTCTTGAACAGTCAGCCTAGACTCCAATTTAAGGATTAACTCTGATTCATGAAAATTTTTACCCCAAACAAAAGAAGGCAAGAATAAGAGGTAGAATAACTGCAATGAAGTAATATATAGAACAGCTCCTTGGTAGTCATCTATTATAAATCAAAATGCAACTGATATCCATACATAAAAGGTACTTAGCCACTGCTTATATGCATAGGATCTACTCATAGTATAGATCTAGACAGCATGCTTGAAAACACAATGAGTACTGAAAAGTGAATAACAGGAACAAAGTGAACCAGCCAATAGGCATTTAGTGATATGTAAACAATAATATTCACAAAGCATTTACTTCAGAAATTGTTGCACAGAATTTTAATGGTCTGAAAGTACCTTCTAACTCCTCCTTGTCCACATTAATTTCAAGTGACTTTGCATATGCAAAAAATCCTACCATCAATTGGCATGGCATACTACTCGGACCAACTGAAAGAATAACAAATAAGGTGTCAGCTATGCCTTCTTTTAGTCATAATGCAACTCAGCGTTTAAAAAGAAAAGGAAATGTAAATAGTAATGACTATATCACAACAACCGATACACTTCTGATGTGAATTTGATTTCAGTTGGTGACGAATATTCATGTCAACCGACAAAAGCTATACTCTGGGCCGAAATATCAAATGCAATAAGCTACAGGCATAACCTTTACAAATTAAGAATAGGATACACTCTTTACTCACATATCTTGAGCATATACAAAGAGTGAAGTTAAAAAGTTCACAACTAAATATCCAAGTAGATGTTGTATAAGGAGATACCAGGCCATGGTTGAGAACTATGATAAACAACTTCACCCACTTCAACACCAGCTTCTTCCCAGGTTTCTCTTCTTACAGCCTCTTCTAAGCTTTCCCCTGGCTAAAAATGAACATAGTTAAAATCAGTATAAACTAACACATTCCATTGCAGAAGTGGTATAATCATAATGTATCGCCCTAAAATTCTAATAATGTTTTGAGCTCTTGTACTAGTTTGTTACATAAGATTTATAATTAACAGTATTAATCTGCTTCAAATTAACTAGAAGGATCCATCAAATCAAACTTTACAGTTGCATGCATCTTACCGGGTTTCACAGAAAAGAAGATTTTGGGTATGACAAGAATCCTTTTCTAGTCATAATCAAGCCACTCAAGTTATTGTTGCTGTGTTAAAAGGTTGATTAAGTTGCTGCCTCTGATTAGTGAAATATGTCAGAAAGGATTAGCTCAGAGATTGCTATATTCAGCAAACTAGCTTGTCAGAATACGGACAATAAAACTTAAGATTATTTAAGTTTTTAAACATCCAACAAGGAAACACCTCACCTCTATGAAACCAGAAAGGCAACTCCACATACGCGGTACAAATCTTGATTGGCGACTCAATAGACAGCGGTCGTTTTCTTTGTCGATAACTAGCATTATTACAACCTGTTTAACATCACATGACACAAACAAGATTAGTATCAACTTATTTTAAGGAAAAATGTACGTATACACCTCTACTTCCAGACCTAATGAATCAAGAAAGTTCATAATTTTGTACACATGCCATACACAAATTAAGACACATGTATCCACATTAACTAAGAGGAAAATAATTCGCAACCCAGATCATACAGAATCAACTCGAGGATATATTCTCTTCTTGCAGGATTCATTTGTACATTGCTTCCGCCTTCCTCCGTCAATGGGAGCTGTTCGGGATCCACAATGTCCACAAAAACGTGATACGATATGCCACTCTGTTAGTGCACGTCCCTGACAAAGGATAAGAAAAATAAAAAATTGAATGTTATGGAAGATAAAAAGCATTGTAGGAATAGTAAAACTTGTCCACTGTGTCCGATACTTGATTTGTGACATGATGATAAAGCACTAGATAAAACTTTCATAACCTATTTAAAATGTAAGGCAATTGTCAAGGCAAAACAAATTTTACTATGCTAAGAAAAAAACATGATATTCCATTTGACCATATGATGGAACGCTTATATCATCTTACCAAGTTTTAGTATTGCTACTGATTTTAGTTCCCATCGTCGAGTTTACAAAACTGCAACTGCCTACTTTTAGCACTCTTCTTCTATTATTAAATTTTCAGTAGCAGAAACCACAATTATCCACCAAAAGACTACTTTCAAGAGCTCTATGGTACCAACAGACCATCAAATCAATTCTTGCATCACGACCAAGCCCTCTAAAAATCCAATACATGAAAGATTTAGCATCCATAGATTGATCAAACTCCTTAGCTAGTTCATAAAAACAACTTCTCTTTACAAAATACACATATATTAATGATTCAAGTTCTTGGACAGTAATGATATTCAATGAAAAATCTTTCACACCATTCAGTCACTCAAAAGTTTTTCTTGTCACTGTGAACATTAACGTTGTTAGCATTCGCAAAGTTAATCAATAACATTTTATATCCGCATAATCAAAACATCTACTATCGCAATCAGATTCCATACCAACCCAGCTTCTAAAACTACAAAATGACACACAACATCTTCTAACCATATTTTGTGGGAAACACGACCATAGTGTTGCAAATGTAAGCATCCATCAAGAGCAATATTAAACCTCAAAATACTTAATTGAACAATAGCAAACAACAAAATCAGATCATGATAAATCGAAATCATTACATGGCCAGCAATCGCCAATTCCCACATCGCACGGGCATCGCCCCAATCAGTAGCCACCATCAAAGTCCTCAGCTCCACGAAACAGAACCCATCTCCTCCCCTCCCCAGCTCGACCCCACTCTCATCACCACCAACATCCACGGCCCAATACACAGTCTCCTCCAAATCCTCCCCCAAATACACAAAACAATCAGCTTCAAATCCCTTGAATTTCTCCAGCGACACCCAACCCAGATGCCAATTGGGGGGCGAATCGGAGTCCGAATCCGACGACCGAGCCAAAGGGCGGCCCTTTCGAAAGGGGAGGACCTTGAAATTGGAGACTGAGTCCTCTTGGGTTGCCGTTAAAAGGAGGGTTTTTAGGGTTTCGAGGGAGGAGGAGGGGGATTTGGAGCGAAGGGAGTTGCCGGCGAAAGCGTGGGATTGGAGATTGAGAGACATGGTTGATGGAGCTAGGGTTAGGGTTTTGGGAGGTGGAGATTGAATTCTGAGGGAATTTAGGGTTTGGGTTAGAGGGAAATTAGTGAGCATTCTTCGGTTGCCATGAGGGCTACGTTTTTAATCTTTGGTGGCGGTAGTTGAGGATTTGCGGAGGGAAGAGACGGGGGTACTTCGGTTTGGTGAATTTAGCAGCTAAGAAGTTGCCACGTTGAATTTTGTAAGGACTTCATAGAAATAAAATAAAAATAAGTTACCCCTTAGATCTAGGGCTGTCCAAGCCCAAACCCGGCCTACCTCGGCCCGAAACTGGCTCAGACCTGACCGGGACGGAAAGGGGCTGTTTGGTTCCCTGTTTTTAAGAGAAAGTTTCTCTTGAAAGCCTACCAAAAGTGCTAAAAGTGTCACTTTTTGACAGGCCTTCAGTCAAAATCTTCTTTTTTAGAGGTGATTTGGACTGAAAGCCTGCCAAAAAGTGACACTTTGACAAGCTTTCAATAGAAAAAAATTCTAACCAAAT